GCACCCGATGGTCGCTTTAACTTCATGTTGCGAATGTAGTAGCAAGCTTTGATGATGATCCACCGATGCAGATGAATCTTGAGACTAAAATAGGTTTAGCGCGCGTTCTGACACCTGACACCTGACCACTCCAACTTACATATCCTTATGCTCCGGCTCCTCGTAAAACAGATCTTTGTTATACGTCTTCTTGGTCGCATCCGGCGTGAGTAAACAGCTGCGATCCGCATCCCTGCCCCAAATAGCGGGTCCGTAACTCGCTAGCAGGTCCTCGAGCTCCTGGTTCAGGGAACTCGGATCCGCCGCGAAATCCAGCAACAAATCTCTTTCTTTTGGCAATTCCTTGGACAGCTTCGTCACCTCACTCGAGAGCTTGCGGTAGTCTGGGTTGTCGAATTTCGGAATGCCGCGGTTGGTCGTGGACGAAGACGCCGATAAGCCCAGGCCCAAGCATTCCGTCACCTCGCGTATAGTCGGGTTATGCGAGCTGAAGACGGATATCCAGCGAGCGCGATCCCAGCGTCGCACGCCGTGCTCCAGATCCAGGGCCAGGTTATCCTTTGAGCTCATGGCGCCACATGGGTGACGACGGGCACGTCAACAGTTGAAATGGGAAGTAGGAAAATGACGATGGAAAAGTAAGCGGATGGGATGGGGAATGACAATCAATGGCGCGTGCGCCAAAGTGTGATGGATCCGCTCGACGTTCCAAGGTTGGGGTGATTGATGGTAGCTCGCTCGGCAAAGGTAAAAGGAGTACGTTCCACTAGGCCGTCTTGGAACAAAGTTTTCTTATTGCCAGCTGCTGCTACCCCAAGAAAAACTTTGTCCAGTCTCAGATGCCGATCGTGCTACCAAACTAGACAAAGAATTGAATGCCCCTGTACACACAAGAAGAACAAACTGCGCAGCAATTGTACTCTGGAGTAGGAACCGACAGGCGCTGGTGAGGGGGGCGTTGGGCGGCGAAAGGAGGATTGGTGATGATGATTGATGCCGGTGACGTGTAGAAGGCGAACGACGGTACGCTGCGTCGAAAAGATACCCAGAAAAGAGGCGTGTCCAGTAGCGAGACAATGATCCGGCAGGGGCCGCAACAAAACATGAGCAGAGGTAATACGCGTCCGCACTCCGAAGTTAATGACTCGCACGCCAATTAATCCCCATCAGGTGTAATCATAGTACCGCCCCATCCTCATTCGTTCACACCCAGCGGGTCTCCTTTGCCCTTGCTTGTTCATTGTACGACACTTGCACTATGAGCGTGGTGCTCATTTGCTGCATTATGCTAATCATATCTATCGCAGGGGTCAATCATCATACACGAGGTACAAATGAATATGTCGCTAGCAGCACAACTCTTACTCGCATAGGCCAAAACATCCGATCCTCTTACTCAAAGCCTCCATTAGCCGCCACATGCAATCAGCGAATAAGCGGCACTATCACGGTTTCGTATAGCCGGGGATAGATGTCGTTGGTATCATGGTCAGGAGTTACAACTACACATGCATCTATGACGCGCTCGTCCCTCACCCATAGATTTGTACTACCGAGCTGCGATTACTCAACTGTGCAACCGGTTCCTGTCCAGACCGCGCGCCGCATAATATTGCTGGGAGGTACAGCGAGATCTGATAAACGCCACAGCTCGAAAGAAAAAAATGTGAGGCAATGTGACGAGTGTGCGGCGCGGTCACTGCACTCTAAAATAGGAACGTGGCATTAGGGAGATTTACGGCGCAGTGCGGAGCCTGAAGACAACGCCCCTTGGCTGCAGGGAATACACTAAGCGAAAAGGTATACTGCGAAGTGCTGCCGAGCCGTGTATTCATTCGGATACTAGCTGCCGAACTATCGAAGTTGCGTACAGTCGCGCCCTCACTATGCGCTCGCGCGTTCCAGGCGATCGCAAACTAAAGCAAATCACGCGTCGCAGAGTCCCGTACTGCATGGTGATGAGGTGTGGCACAGCTGAGCTAGTGTAATCCTACACGGTCCTGTAACATGATCAAGTAGCTGAAACCACCACTCTACGGCTGACCTACCCGAATAGCTTATTTTCCCGAATTGGACACCTACTAGTGGGGGCCTCGACCCTGGCGATCGATCGTCGCCCTGAAAACCTGAACGCCTGTATGATCCTCGTACACAGTTTTTGCGACTACAGCTGCCCGCGCGCACGATACGTGCGTATCTCCATCATGGTAATTGCGACTAGCGTCGTGACTCGCCAATATACCAGAGCATACCCTTTCCATCTTCCTCTTCTTCCTTGCGGAAGCTCTCCAGGTGGTCGTGCAGCCAGCCCATTACTTGCGTAAAATCTACTGGCTTCCACTGCATCTCTACTGCGTACTTTTCTCCGGCCAACACCACAATGGCCTGTCGCAGGAGCTCATCGCGGTCGACAGCGACGTTGGGGCCGAGACCAAATCCTCGACCCACGTCTTCAAAATTGGCGATGATGGTTTGCGTGCAGCCCATAAGCGTGCGGTGCTGTTGGATGCGCCTCTCGATCTCGGCGGCTGTGTGGCCTTCGGCTGACCAACCTGCAGTAAGATAAGTATAGATAGAATGGATGCAAAGGCAGTTGGTAAAACGTACGTTCGTTTGCTCGTAATAGAGCTGCCAGGTGGCGCTTGAGTTCCACCCAAGTCAGAAATGCTCGTTCCCTCGCAATGAAAACGGGTATGTTTTCGATCATCTTATTGTAGTCGGCTCGAACGCCTTCTCGCCATGTTCTTTCGAGTTGGTTGAGGAGCGCTTCCTCGTCCATTGAAACACCTCGTTCCTCTCCATAAATGTACTGCCGTAGCGCCCGTAACCCGTCGTAGTCTAAACCACGGTAGGGTATGCTGTTGTTTGGTTGCGGGAGCTCTTCTGGCACACCGTCATCCGACCGAAAGCTTGCAACCAGCGCGGCCATTTGGACACTGACTTGTCGATCAGCAGCCGCTTGGGTCGCGTCGGTGATTTGCTGTTGTGCCGCTGCGTTGGTCTCGGTAGGATGTGCAGCGTGGGTAGGAGCAGGGCCTGACATCGTACTGAGATACCGAGATTTGTTCGCTTCAGCTGTGAGTTTGTTCCAGACACCCTCGGCAATGTTAGATTGTTGTGTAGCCTGTTGCTCGTGGGCTTTCGCCGATGTAAAGGCGGCATTGCCATTCGTTGCATGTCCACCGCCATTGACAGCTGTAAACCCGCCTCCTTCCCGCGGTCCCATAGTGGGACTTTCCCCAGATTCCGGAGGTGTGAGCATTGCACTTGACGACATTGGGCTTCCACGTGACGCTGTATCGCCGTCGTGCAACACCGAGTTTGGCGCAAGCGCAACAAATGATGCTGGGGTGCCGCCCTCTTGCTGGCCAGAAAACTCGGCATCAGCTCGCGCCTGGCGGTTTTCTGCCTTCTTTCGTCTCTCGCGATCCAGGCGTTCGCGCGCAAGAATGACGTTGCATGCTTTCAGCCCGATCCACCAATGGAGAAGTTTGTGGATTCTGCGTGGTGGGTCAGTAGGGTTTCGGCACTATTACGAGGGCCCAAATTCAAGACGGATGTGCTCTCGAACTTATGTACTTACAATGCTCTGTCTTCCTCGTTCTCCAAGTAAAGATCCCGCGGGTAGAGTCCCTCTTCGACTCCGGGTTCATTCGCGGTGATTAGATGCTCACGATCGCCCACTCTTCCCCAGACCTTGGCGCCATGTTTCTCAAGTAAGCCATCGACTTGCTCTTTCAAACTTCCCTCGTCGCTCAGAAACTTCATCAGCTCATCCGGCTCTTTCGGTAACGTGGAGACAACATCGCCCATGTCTGCAACAAGCTCGCGTACGAGGGCGGATTCAAAGTTTGTTTTACCGCGTTTGTTCGATGACCACTTTGCGCGCAACCCAAGACGCTCGATCAGCTCGTGCATACGCACTTTTGACCGATTCTTCATAATGTCCAACCAGTCCTTGGACGTTGCGTATGTGATAGCTGAGCCGTCCATGGTGTCTGGGCTAGATGCATGGATCGCAAAATCTCGCCAGGTGAATTAAATGTAGGCTAGCGATGCAGCCGTACACAGTCGTATGAGTTCCGAGCGTTGTGGTGTCGCGACTATGCAAGGGAGGTGTGATGTGTAGTGCTGATTTTCTCGGGTATGATTACATGCAGATGCTCTCAGGACCGGGGCAGCCAGATCGTGCAATTTCGCCAAAGGGCCGTCTAGAGCATGTACGAGTCAGTGATGGGGCGCGCAAGGAAAACGAACGACATTCTCAAAGATGAATCGAGAACACGATAGATGATAAGAGTACAGATGAAGAAACCATAGCGGCGTATGAAAGCTTCGTCTACAGGTTAGCGGCACCCGCCTGGGAATGGCAGGCGGAACCAGAGGGCAATTGCTGCCGATTGGCTGGAATATCGCGTTAGCCGACGATCCCCCCAAATCACTTACACAAGGCATTGTGCACATTGTTCTTCGTCTACGAGGTGGCGAAATGCAGCTCACCGCTGCTGACAGTAATGTCTTGTGGCCCAGGTCTATGCATACGACTGCACTTCCTTTTCCACTTATTGGCGCGACTGACATCAGATGCGCAGTGGCGGGCAGATTTCGCTGGTGTACAGGCGATGGGGAATTACTACATCATCGCACGTGCTGTAGCATATGCACACACTCAAACAGAGGCTCTGCAAGTTTTGCGAGAAAAGGCCACATAGAGATCGTCATTAGTAATCGTATGTAGATACATTTTATGAGTTGCCTGGATCCTGCCCGGCCTCATGGAGCACCAGTGCTATACAACAGCCAGCCTGGTATCGATGCTTTCGACCAACTAGCACGCGAAAGATCAGAAATGATCGGGGTATATGTAGGACAACGCAAAAAGCCATCGATGTACTCAATGGTATACAGATTCTAGAGAAAGTGAGGAAGAGCACACCTTCGAAGAACGCCGAGGCTGGAATTCTAGGAAGAGAATTATCGATGACCGTTGCTCATGTCGCTCAAGCAGGGTTTGGCCGGCTCAAAGACTTGAGTACGATATCGACTTTTGCTTGAGGATTGTCTGCCCAGATAGACGATTGAGCAAGTGTAGTCTGTAGACGATCGAATGCGGTCTCCGTGCCTTTGCGGGCTACGATCGCTTTGCTGATACCGTCACCAAGATCGTATGTCAGTTTCCAGGTTTTGGTTTTCTCCAATATGCTCGCAACACAGGGTAGGTCCTCACTCTCTTCCTCCAGCAGGCCGAGCAGGCCTCCAAAAGACTTGCATTCGCGTAGCGTGTGATAAAACTCCATTTCCATGCCTTCGTCGTCGACCGACCAAATGAAATACACGCGCTCGGCTTGTTCGTCGGTCAAATCAAGAGAGATGATGCTGGTAGAGTTTGTGCGCTTGATGGCTTGATGCGGAGGTTTGAATGTATCCGCGGGCGTTGGAGCATGCTGTTTGACATCGTCGACAGGTGTTTCTGACGTTCGTTGAGTCTGCGTATGTATCTGTGGCTGCGGTTGGGGTTGGGGTTGGGGTTGGGGTTGAAGTTGGGGTTGGGGTTCCGGCTCTGGCTGTGGCTCAGGTACAGGTTGTGGCGTCGGTTGTTGTTGTGGTTGCAACTGTGAAGGGCATGTACTGCTTTCCTTGGGAACAACCTCGATCACGTTCGACATCTGGGTCCTATTTTCGCTAAGCTTTCTCCGCTTCCTCGCGGCGGGTTGCTTAGTATGAGCATCGCTTTCATCGTCATCGACCTTTGCCATGGCATTCGATGCTGGAGGTGCGGCATTCGGTGCTGAAGGTGCAGCATCTTCATCAGTGGATTTCGATAGCTTGGGGGTAGAAGAGAGACGCTGTCTTGGTTCCGGTAGTCCCCTAAGCTTCGAGGCGATGTCAGCTCGCTCTTGCGGAGACAACACCGAGAGCACGGTCTCTAATGTGCCAGCATCGCTGTCAGGATTGCGAAGTGTGAGCATCATGAAATTGTTGGCGAACTTGTCTCCCAGACCACCTCCACTGATCTGCAGCATTAGATGTGAGGTCAGTATGTTTTTTCCATGTACTATTCGTTGATCCGAGTCTTACCTCGTAGGGGCGATAGGCTTGAAGACCCTGTAAAGACCTATCACTCGTCTGAGGTAGCATGATGGCAAAAACCCCAGCGTCGTCGTCGCCATCGAGCGGCATAATAACGACTTTCTGTATTTTGTCAACAATCTGGACGACATGGACTGTATGTATTTCGGTACAACTCACAACCTTCGGTCCGAACTGCACTTCGCTGAAGGCAATAACAGCTGAGTCTTCCCTAGCACAGCCTCGGCAGACAGCGTTGCGATTCTCCCTAGGACTCCCTGATACTATAGGAGGGTGTGGAGGAGTGAACTTCTTGTAATTGGCCTTCAAGTCGTGAAAGGAGGGTAGCCCTCGGAATGACTGGGTTTGCCTGTCCGGGGCCAGGTAGCCAATCCAAACGCCCCGCGCAAAGAGCTGATTGGCCGAATAAAAATGACCCTTTAGGTGAGGTTGCGAGTTGAAGCAACCATACGAGATGGAGTTCTTCCTAGGACTGGTGTTTCGAGATTCTTCCATAGATGCCTGCAGTGCACGCAGCCTAGGTGACATCATTGGCGAAGTCAGTTCGCTCGACGCGCTACGACGTGCCGGCTGCGCATCGCTTTCTGGAGATGCCGCCTTGGAATTGGTGTTTACTTCATTTGAGTTGGAGGGTGTTTGCAACCGGATTGCGTCACCAGGCTGAGGGCTGTTGTTGTCGAGACTGGGCTCACGGGCGCGTTTGCAGCTTGTTGACGGGGCCCTCGACACAGGTGGGCGCACACTCTTCCGTGCTCTTTGGGGCTGGGGCGGCATGCCCGAGTGTTTGGGTGGCATGCCGGCGAGATGTCGGATAGCGACTGGTAGGTGGTGATGGCGGTCTGTTGTTGCACCATGCGGCTGCGCGCGCTAGCGTTCGTGCAGGGCTTTAATTGGCCTACAATTCTGGATGGCATTTTAACTCCGTCGCAGCACCGCCATGGTACATCCCATCTCCCTTCTCACTTTAACGCGAACAACCGTGTCGCGATACGTATAGCACGCGACATCGGAATGCAGGAGTTGTATCAGTGAGCACGAATAAGACGAAAGCTCCTCCTCGCCAATTGAGGACGCGTCAAGTAAACAACGAAGGAGCGAGGACGCGTCTGTCTCGACCGGAGTCTAGATGGAAGGCGCCTTGCTTTAAACCGCTGCTCACTCCATCACCACCACGTCCGGAATCTATTCGCAAGCTCTCACCGCTTGACACCGACGTCGCCAGCTGCGGTGTACATCACAATTGCCAATTGGTTTTTTGTCCATCAAATCACCACTATACCCGACAATGGGGCGGCAAAAAGGCGAAATTGGCGTTGCTCATCATATAGAATGTCTTGGACTTCAGACGTATGGGAGGGAGAGGATTGAACCGGGCTTCGTTATGAGAAAACCAGTGTTCAGGTATGAGCCCGCCACTGCAATCCACGAACTCGAGGTACCCGCTCTGCTTGGTCTACTACTACGCGATGCACACGATGCAAATACTGTCATCGATCGACACGATCCCATGCTCCTCGATAAAGAGCTAGACCAGCTGTTAGTCGAGTATGGTCCCCTGATCTGGCCTGAGCCTGGTCAAGGAAGTAGAGACCATCTCCGAAAACCACAAGAGGGTACCCGATATCCGGCTGATTTGATCTATCCGAGAGACAATACCACGTAAGTCCGCTCATCCAGGTACTGGGTGCGAGCTAATGAAACCAGCCTCAAGAAACACCTGCTGGGCATGATTCTCTGCAGGCAGACTCGCTCCGACATAGAGACCTTCATAAACAGGACATACATGAAAGCCCTGACATACAAGAAAAGAGACCTAAATATCGATAATAAGCCTTGGTTTCAAGGTTGCAGATTCGTAGCCCTAAGCGAGAAAATACCAGTGAGGAAGAGACGCAGCACTGGTACGACTACAACAGCAGACGAACCCGCTCCTCAACGCGCACGTTCCGAAGAAGACCATACAGATGATGACTCCGATACGTCTGAAGATTCGGTGATGGGCACCAAGACAGGATGTCCGACCCGCAGGAGAAGCGCGATTTCACCCGGGCCGTCGCCCTTTAAAGTTGAATTACGGATTTATCGCACCAAACCACCGGGCCAGCCAATCGGCCCTGGACCAACTTGGTCTTACGGCAGTTTGATGTTCACCGGAAAGGAAACAACGTGTGAAGACTTCTTCGGTCTCATATGCAATCAGACCAAAGCCGACTGCAGCTTCCTCATCTTCCAGTTACCCGAAGATATGTCCATGGACGAAAGGGTGCGCATCGACCGAGGATCCAAGGAGTCCGAGATGACCTATCGACGTACCCTGGGTATTTTACAAAGAGCAAGAAGATTTCCATGCGGTCCTGCGTACCGTTCAGTTGAGCTGGAGATTGGGTTTGAGACTGTCGTGGATTAGTGCTGTGATACCCCATAATTTGCGCCTTGCGACTTGCATTTTCGCAATCATTCTTCCCTGTATTCATTTCTTCAACTTCGACGCAGGCGATAGCAAGATGTCGAACACGCAAGCTTGGAATCCCCAACAGACGAGCGTATCAATGTAACTTGTTGACATGACAAGATGTATATAACATGACCTCGTTATTCGTCGTGTAATTAGTGTATCCATATATCCACCGTTTTCTTTTTGTACAAAACACTTCCTTGTGTATTCCACCCGTGACTACCGGTGCTGGCCTACCCTCCTCTCATCAACCAACACACTCCAATTCTTCTGCACACTGATCCCGCCCGTCGCAGTCCTCTGCGCACTATCATCGCTAACCCTCCCCATCTCAATCTCCACATTATGCTTTCCCTGCGTGTCCTCCCCAACAAACTTGAACTCTTCCTCATCCTCCAACCGACTCATACCCGCGAGCGTAGAAAACAACCCGCCAGTCGCACCCTTCTTCCTGTGCCTCCCTCCGGAGTTCTTCGAGTCATGCATATACCCATCCAGTCCGCCATTCGAGCTCGGACCCGGACTCTTCATATCGCTCGGCCGCGAAGAAGCAAAAGAGAACAATTTATCGAGGCCGATCCAGCGGAAAGCCGGTTTCAAGCTAGGCAAACAAGCACACGTGAGACCGATGTTGATCTCAACAATCGACCACACGATGATCTCGCGGAAGTTGTAGGTTACGTCGCCCTGGGCTGAGATGGGGATTTGCAGGAAGATGATCAGGCGTACGAGCGAGACAACGGCGATGAAGGTGCCGAGGGCGAACATGCCGGCTAGCACGATGCGTTGGGCGAGGGGCGCGTGCAGACGCCAGACGTGCGGGATGGGCATGATGACGATGAAGAAGTCGAGGATCACGTTGGGGACGGAGCCGCCGAGGTAGATGTCGCGTGTTTCGATGCAGGTCTTTTGCGTGATGGTTATGTCCCAGGCGGCGCGTACTGGGAGGCAGTTGAAGATTACGCAGAGCATCTGTGAAGCGGTACTGTCAGCATATTGCGCTGAGGGTGTCAGTTTTATGGCGATAGATGACTTACGATAGCAATACACCATGCGATGGAGGCGGCGGTGACCACATAGATAGTAATGCGGGACTTGATCTCGAAGAGTCGCCAGTAGAAAGCGAGAACCGATAGCTTGATGCTCGTGATGCTGAGCGTATACAAAATCTGGCCGATGTAGATATTCCGCAAGAAAGCGATAATTTGTAACGGGTTCGTGATCTCATTGATGTGTAGTCCCAGTGACTCTCGCATGCCTGCAAGCACTGAGCGTTAGCCTACGATTCGTGTCCAAGGACGAAAGATACGTACCTATTATACACACGTAGAAGAAACCGTTCGCCACGGCCAGTGCGACCATGGACATGTAGTCGTCCATCTGAACATTGCGCCAACCCCCGTGCCGTTTCCGACAGTAGACCTTGAGGGGGACGAGTAGCATGATCAAGATATAAGTCGATATCGCCACTCCATCGAGACGACGGCGGTAGGATTGGCTGGAGAGAATGTCAGCTGCATGTTACCCAAGACACTGTTTTCTGGTCGTGATAAGACATGGGTTGGGTGAACCGCGGAGGACCACGGAGACTGGGTATGGAAAGGGTAGAGAGCAAAGAGATGGCGAGTAGACACTCCCGAACAAACTTACACGCTCTCCTGTGGATCGATGATAGGCGCCATGATGCACAATTCATATACACACTCTCTTTCCTATCCTCGACGGCGTATACACCAGGTATATCACAAACAGCGAGAAAGAAGACGTCGCAGTGGCGTTGACGGTGATGCACGAAACTCTCACATGGAAAACGCGAGACACGCACCCATGATATATCAAGAGCAAGAACACGGCACAAGACACGCGATGCCCAGAAGGAAAGAAAAACCTTTCCTCACCTCCCATGCAGACGCCCTGACCAGAACTCCCCAGATGTTCCCAATCCACCTACCGCTACCGCCGCTCCCGGTCGCGGGACCCCCTTTAGGTCTGTAAATCACCACCCTTCAAACCCATGACGGTTTACTTGCTTGTTTAGCTGTGCATCAGCCAATGGTCATCGCAGCATCCGGCAGAGAGAAGTAATAATCCGACATGCTGGAGCTGTTGGGCAAAGCATAAAGTCAAGAAGCGAGGCACTGACACACGGGGAGCATCTGGGAAGTGGATCGTCAGTTACAGGTTAGGGGGTCCTGGTCGGCCTGAAGGGTCCCTCGTCTTCACATGTGAGTGGGTGGGGGATGATCCGGCACTCGCTCCCAACGGAGACGGCGTCGTGCTACGCGGGAACGAAATGGGAAGTCACTCCACTTCAATTATGCAAGACTTCAATCTACGCCTGCATCGCACACCCTCTCGTTCAGCAAGCGCGTCGCGGCTTGAGACAAATGATCAGTATGAGAGGGGTAGATTCTTGCATCTTGCGAAAAAAGAAACAAGAACGTATTTGTTTATCTGTCGCCGCGGGGTCGAGTCTGCCGTCTGCGTGTGTACCCAAACCGACAATCACTGCGCTCGTCGATCAAAATCCTCCGGGGTAGCCGTGGCAGAATAAACTCCGAGCTGTGCGTTATTCTAAATGGCCGACTCGAGCAGATCATCCCACTTCCTGGTGTTGAGCGCATGTGCCTGGCCG